TAAGAGGGGGGGGGGGGGGGGGGGGGGGGGGGGGGAAGTAGCTGCGGCTATTGTTCAATTTTTGGATGATGCACCTTCTCTGAATGAGGACTTTATTGATTATTAGTTATTAGTTGTTGTGCTTGGAACTCAAGAGCTGTGGTGTAGATCTTGAAAACAAAGCATTTTACAATACTCCCAACAGTCTGTGATTAGACCTAGACCTTTGAGGAAGTTCATACTAGACGGAGCACTTGTCTACATATTGCATTAAGCTTCTCTGTAAAAATTCATCATTGTTCTTATTAATTGCAGATAGGAGGGGAAATGAAACACAAATATTTACTCAGGTAAGTAAAAATGAAATACTGCACAATTTTACTTTGCTAGATTACATCAGAGGTTCTGACCAGTTCTAGAGAACCGGTAGCAGAAATTTTGAGTAGTTCGGAGAACTGGTAACTACCACCTCTGACTGGCCCTGCCCCATCTATTCTCTGCCTCCTGAGTCCCAGCTGATTGGGAGGAAATGGGGATTTTACAGTATCCTTCTCCTGGAGTGGGGTGGAAATGGAGATTTTACAGTATCCTTTCTCTGTCACGGCCATGCCACCAAGCCATGCCACACCCACTAAGCCACGGCCACAGAACAGGTAGTAAAAAAAATGAATCTCACCACTGGATTACATCCTAGATTTTTAAAAATATGGTGGTTAGGAGTAGCCAATATTTGGTCAAGGTACTTTTACTGTCTTGAGATGAACCTGTTAAGGATTTGCACATGCACATTTCTAAATTAAGTGCAGGAGAAACACTTTTAAATAATCTAGCTGAAATAAATAGGCTTAATGTTGGCTGGATCATAGCCACTATTTGCTATACTAACCCCATGTGTCTCTTTGTACTTAACCATGGAACAAACATTCCCTGGCAACACGTTTTCTCTCCTCTCTTCCCATGATGTTATCTTAATCCTTTCCCCAGCCCATCTGTGAGATCTTTTCCCTGCTAATGATGTACAGTAATTTCTACAATATACTTGTCCCATTGTTATAACACAATAATAGTACTTTAAACAAGCTTTATATAACTCCAGTGACGCTATGAAAATTCTGTAAGTCCACAGAGGGTTAATGACCTTGTTCTCAGCTATTCTAGTATTACAGAAACATTTCCCTTTTTATTTTGACACTATCCAACAATAGCCTCAATTCACTAGGTTTTATCTTTGAATCTGAATGTAATTACTGTGCTTGGAAACAAAAAGAAGAGAGATAATATAGGGATTAGCAATGAGGACAATAAGTGTCATGTCAGTATGCTTTTCTGTCAACTCAGAGATGGTCTTTGTTTGGTGGGGAAAAACCAGAAGCATTACCCTTGGTCTTAGATCCAACTTTCTGTCCAAAAAACTATTAAATATTAAATGTAAATATTTATAGTTTTCTTTATGTTTCTAACTACTGAATTTTATGCTGCTCTGTGCTGAACCCACATGTTTATCAATGCCTTCCATAGATCTTATTCAACTGTGTAATTAAAGTAATAATTCCATCTAAACACTTTTTATAATGTCTTTTTGATTTTGGTAAGACCACCTTCCAAATTTGTGATTTCAAATGAAAGCTATAATGCCAGCCATCTTCTCACAGTTTCACTGATCACAACTCATCTTGCTTTTAAACATCTGTTTCTGCAGATACAAGGTGTTTCTCCGCCAACACTGAAATTTAGAAAAAAACATATTGGACACATTTCAACTTGGAGAACTTCGATGGAGATTAAATGCAACAATCAATAAATAATCTTTCTCAAAAGCATAAGATTCTGTTCCTAACCATAATATCAAAAATGTTGAGAACTCAATGGTACTGTAGTTCAGCAGCACCTGGAAGTCCACAGGCCGATGTACTTCATCACTGTGGAAAATTGCATTAAGTCTTGCCGATGCATTACATCCAATTTAACAGATCAATGCCTTTTGCAGAAAGGAGCCGAATTTAAAATACTAAGAGAATGAGACAGCACTGAAGCAAAAGACTATCGTATGAGGAATACATTAGTTCCCTATGTAATTGAGGAGCCATAACACATTTATTCAGTTACCATATGTTTTCTAGTTGATTTCAATAAATTATGACTACTGATCTCATGGTTATGTCATAAAAGTAAAATTACCTGTAAGCTTTCAGGTAATCCTGGATTTCAGTTCCAAAAGCCCCAGCCTGCTCGTTTGTTGCAGAAGGACATTTAATCCAACATCTAGCTCCCTATAACTGCACCATTTATACGGTTACATCTTGTGAAATATGTAGCCAAATATAACTGAACAGGTTCTCATGGTGTCTACCCATATTCAACCCCTAGTCCTACTTCATATTAGTTTGAAACAAACGCTATTGAATGAATGAATGAATGAATGAATGAATGAATGAATGAATGAATGAATGAATGAATGAATTTGCTCTTCAGAAACACATTGAGCATTCAAACTGCAATTCTTGATCTTCTGACAATGGGGAAATCAGCTTCACTTAACAACTGTGTCACTAACAACTGCGGTGATTCAGCTGACAACTGTGACAAGAAAGGTTGTAAAATGGGGCTGAATTCACTTAACAACTGTCTCACTTAGCAAAATAAATTTTGGGATCAATTGTGGTCATCAGTCAAGGACTGCCTATATTGTGTTAGCTTTTTCTTTAGAATAGACTAGACTAGACTAGACTAGACTAGGAATAGGAATAGGAATAGGAATAGGAATAGGAATAGGAATAGGAATAGGAATAGGAATAGGAATAGAAATAGGAATAGGAATAAGAATAGGAATAGGAATAGGAGATGGGCATTGGAAGTCTTCTAGTCCAGCCCCCTGTTCAAGCAGGAGATGCTATACTATTTCAGACAAGTGACTGACTAGTCTCTTTTTAAAAACCTCCAGTGATGGAGTGCCCACAGTTTCTGAAGGCAAGTTGTTCTGCTGGTTAATTGTCCTCAGTGTTAGGAAGTTTCTCCTTACTTCCAGGTTGCTTCTCCCTTTGATTATTTTTCAACCATTGTTTCTTGTCCTGCCCTCTGGTGCTTTGGAGAATAATTTGACCCCCTCTTCTTTGTGGCAGCCTCTCAAATACTGGAATACTGCTATCATGTCTCTTTCTTTTCTTTAGACTAGCCAAAAACCTGCAGCCATTTTCTCTTTTGCTATGTTCTGATGTTTTCATAACAAGTTGCTCAAGGAACTCTTAACTGGATTTTTAACCATTTCCACCTACTGTATCTACCACTTCTTCATTAGGACTTTCCTAGTTTACCAACAAATAGAACTGCTATTGTGATCAGCTTTCAAAAGTGCTCTTTCCTCCAAACCTATGCCATTACATCACTTCCAATATATCCACTTTCCCCTGATGTTGTTTATCTCTTAAAATATGGCCTCTACGTGACAACCTAAGATTGTTGTACAGCATACAAATCTCTTAATTCTGCACTTCTCTACTTCCATATTAACAGTCTAACTTTTAATTAGCAATCTTTGTGGCCAACAGGGAATTATTAGGGAACATTAAATAACTCAAAATGCTTTGCATCCTTCTTTGTGTGTGTATATGTGTGTATGTATGCTTCTATGTCTATGTATGTTTCTGAACGTATGCGTGTATATGTGTGTGCATTTTTTGCATAGCACACACATACACAGATACACAGACACACACACACACATTCAGTGCATAGTGCTCTTACTTTATTAAAGCCTTAGAGACAGCAGTAACTTATATAGATTTTCCTTAACTAGTTTATCATGCATGTCCATGCAAGCAAAATGGTTAATTTTGCATAGCAAGAGCGCTCCCAACTTAGATCTCCTTCACAATGTAGTGCTAGCTTTATGGTTTGATTTTGTTTTCTTTACCTTAACCTTGAGACCAATGCATTTGAAATAGCAATTGGGATAAACCAACACTCAACACTACAAGAACTCTTTTAGTGCACTGTAGCTCGTCAAATGTTGGTAGTGAAACATATGCATCTGTGATTATTACTCTGCAAAGATACTTTTCCTAGGACGAGCTTAAAAAGGGGGGTGAAGTGGGGTGGGGAAGAGAGAAAGGCCCATCAGCTCCCATTGGTTATTATAACAGATGTGCCCTTGTGTCCCTGGGCTGGATCTTGCTGCATCCGTAGGTGAGAAGTCACATCAAAGTGTGATCCATTGCAACCCAAAGAATAGTTCCTAATCGTTTCACTGTCATAAAGGTGCTCCAGAGCAAATCCTGTTAAGGTGTAGGCATGCTTATCAAAGTATTGCCTATGGGAAGTGTAATAATTGGGAGAGCTTGTGGGCTGATGATCTCCTGGTGTCTGATGGGGAGACACGTCGGAATGAAAATAGTCTTTAGCCAAGATCAAGCCGGATTTAGACATTCGATCAGACCCAGGACTGTTTATTCTAGATAGTGTCGTGGGGCTGTTGTCATAGTCGTTCTCCTGGGGGCTCATCAGTTTCCCATCCCGCGGTTGCTGTGTGTGTTCACAAGGAGGTGTAGTGGTGATGCTGGGGACTCGGCAGGCTTCTCTCAGCTGTTGCTGCTGATGGTAGTTTGTAAAACAAACAGAGTGCTTTTTCCCAGTTCCGTTCATCGAAACCAGCTGATCGGGGGTGGATTTCCGCTGCTGTAGCCTGTTCTCTTCTTCTTTAATCATTTGCTGAGTTGCTCTAATTAGAGTTTCAATTTTGCTGGGCTCATGTGGGCTGCCCTGATACTGCTCAGAGTGGTATCGGTCCCCTGACTCACTAGCCGAACCAGGATCTGGGGAACTAACCACACTTTCTTCATCCCAGTGCCCTCGTCCTAAAAAGAAATGAGCAAAACAAAGAGTATAAATAATGAACAGTGGATTTTGCGCCAAGTCCAGCAGATCATTCAGAACTGATGACCTCCTGAAGACAAAATAACAGTATTAAGAATTTTAAGCCATTTACAACCACATCAAGCTGCAGCATATATCTTGGCTCACACTGACTTACTGCCAATAAAATGATATTGTATCTATGTTAGCAGGATTCTCTTGTCAAGCTCAGATTCAGCTGAGGAACCTCTTGTCTCCTGACTTTGAGCCTTCTCACTTCGGATGTCTGAATTCACAGAAATCATCAACACTTCGCTCCTTCCCTGTTTCTGTTTGGGGATGTCTCTGTAACATATCATTGCATCTTCCTACTTTGTATACAAACTATAATGCTTACAGAGAAAACCGTGTGCTACTTGAGAATGGAGAATGCATAGAGATAGATATATTTTATAAATTTTTAAATAAATGTACAACTAAAATAAAAGTGACATCTATAACTCCACATCTGCTACCCTCCACTACTATAATATAACTGGTCGGCAGTTCAGCCATTCGAATCCCTAGCACCGCGTAATGGAGTGAGCTCCCGTTACTTGTCCCAGCTTCTGGCAACCTAGCAGTTCAAAAGCATGTAAAGATGCAAGTAGAAAAATAGGGACCACCTTTGGTGGGAAGGTGACAGTGTTCCGTGCACCTTTGCTGTTTAGTCATGCTGGCCACATGACCACGGAGTTGTCTTTGGACCGCGCTGGCTCTTCAGCTTTGAAATGAAGATGAGCACTGTCCCCTAGAGTCAGGAATGACTAGCACATATGTGCATGGGGAACCTTTATGTTATCATTATATCATTATAATTTCAATAATTATAGCAATAGCAGTTAGACTTATATACCGCTTCATAGGGCTTTCAGCCCTCTCTAAGCAGTTTACAGAGTCAGCATATCGCCCCCAACAATCCGGGTCCTCATTTTACCCACCTCTGAAGGATGGAAGGCTGAGTCAACCTTTGAGCCGGTGAGATTAGAACCGCTGAACTGCAGATAACAGTCAGCTGAAGTGGCCTGCAGTACTGCACCCTAACCACTGCGCCACCTCGGCTCTTATGCTGGCTCTGTAAACTGCTTAGAGAGGGCTGTCATGCACTATGAAGTGGAATATAAGTCTAGGTGCTATTGCTATTATAATGTCTCAATTTAACTAGAAAAAGAAACTGGGTTCAACTCATAAGAAAATTTGGTTTTGCAAACTTTCATCCCCACGTTGTTCCTAACTGGGGAATTAGTCTATAACAAGGCTGTCAAATTTATTTATTTATTTATTTATTAGACTTATATACCGCTTCATAGGGCTAAAGAGCCAAGGTGGCGCAGTGGTTAAATGCAGCACTGCAGGCTACTGCTAGATCAGCAGGTCAGCGGTTCAAATCTCACCGGCTCAGGGTTGACTCAGCCTTCCATCCTTCCGAGGTGGGTAAAATGAGGACCCAGATTGTTGGGGGCAATATGCTGACTCTCTGTAAACCGCTTAGAGAGGCCTGAAAGGCCTATGAAGCGGTATATAAGTCTACTGCTATTGCTATTGCTAACTGGTTCATAGTTAGCAGAGGCCAACAGAGCCTGTGAACTCTCTGCAGCTAGTTTCTTATGCACAAAGCATAGGAAGAATCGTCCCAAGGGGAATTTCATTTGACTTTCTGTAAGATAATTCCTACATTACTGGCTGTGTATCGCCACATGCACAATGCTTCTAGATTTTTTCCAGGTTTTTTTTCCAGCATTAGCATGCAGTTCAAATAAATGTCAGAGTGCTGTTATCCCTAGCCATCAGCTGTCTAGTACAAGTTCTCCAAATCCCAAACAAAATAAAATATTTTTAAAAATCTTGCAATATTCCAATTTTTCACAAGATGTTGGCAATCCCATACAAATCTCATGAGATCTCACATGAGAATATGAAAATATCACACTATTTCAGGTTGTATTAGTAGAATATTATGACCTTATATCATCTCTTGACATTCCAGCTTTTCCCCCCTTAATGGCTGGTTAACTGCAAAACCATGTGCTGGTATATAGGGAGAAAACAAGATTGCTGTCTCTTGCACTAATAACATATGCCTGCACAGTGCACAAAGCATAAATGTGAAGATACTATAAAGGAAATAATGTATTTACATCAAAAGCACCTGAAAAATTTAAAAATTCAAATCAAGTGATGCCACATAATTTTGTTTTGAAATGCTTCTTTGTAAGACAGGCAGAGACGCAATACATCTTGTCAATATGTATTAGCATTTCTATTCAGAATATAATGACATAAGTTTGTCTAGTCACGTTCAGTGCCTTATGAACTGCACAATCAATTATTGGTTCAGGAGCATTTAGATTGCCTAATAACTCTTACCAATGAAATTCATTTTTAACTTAAATTACTTCCACTCCTATTAATGTTTATAGACTGATGATACAAAACTCAATGACTCTTAAGAAAGAAAGAAAAGCCTGCTAAATTGAATCCATTAATGTTCATAACAAAATTGGTAGTTTAGGCTGAAGCTGGTTTTGCAACCATACAACAAAATTGCTGAATCAGGAATTATAGTGTTATTGTGTATATTTCAATATATCTAATGAGACAGACACTAAGTATTGAAATGCTTTCTATTTTAAAGATATTTAATGCTGCATTTGTAAGCAAGGAACTCAGCAGTATGAAAAGGAGCAAATTCTATCTTGTAGTAATAGCACAACACTAGTAATATAATATTTTATAAATAAAAGTATTTAGCACAACCTAATAACACTCTGGATAGGATAAGGCCCCTGTTTTTCCTAAAAATGTCAACTCGAGTCAACGTTCAAATATTACACCTATTCATTTGTGAATCTATTACCTGTTTCAGATGACCAGATGCCTACTTATATAGCTCAGTTTTCCAAATTAAGTTGTGTTTCTACAATTTTGCAAGTCTCTTATACCAAAAGCCTGAACCTGATGTTTTCAACTGTTCTGAGGGTCCTCCACACTCACGTCAGTTCTGATGCTGGCTTAGCATTAATCAATGCATCCAAGCCCTTAATAGGGAGCAATGATGGCAACTGTCCAAGCACCTTGAACATCATCAGAACTATGCTTCCTTCTTTTGGATTTCTCCTTGCACTCTATTGACTTTAATGGACAAAAAAAAGATCCAGTAAAAAAATAAAAAGGGAAGAGTCAATTGAACATGGTGTCTTGAAAAAAATCCTGAAAGCACCATACAGTATGTACAGGAAAGATTAACAGCAAGAATGCTACAACACTTCTGTTCTGTACCATTTTTCTCCATGCCTTTTTAATTAAGTCTTTCCCCTGTTCTCTACTATGTAGCCATTCATTTGTTAAGCCATTCTTTTCATTTTATATCTTTTTAATTATGCAGGTTCACTCAGTCTCTGTAGCATAACCCACATAAGCTTAACCGAAGTAATTATTTCTGATGTGGAGACATGGATTCTCCTTTCATAAAGAGTCACTTTCTTTTATAGAATACTTCCTAAAATTTGATCTTTTCAAACTTCTCCCTTTACAGTTTTGTTGTTTCCAGTATTAAGTGTTTAAACTACTTTTTGTTCCCTTCTCAACAAGTCTAACCTTTCTTGGATTTGATCAATAAATTTGTTAGATTTTAGCACTTCTTAGCTGACTATTTGCATAAATAATCCATTTAAATGAAGATATATTTTGAAAAGAGGCTTTCCTATTCATCCTATCACATTACATCCCATCCCATCCCATCCCAACCTATCCTAATCAAGAAGCCCAGCACAACATTTCTTACCTGATTGAGAGGCAATGTGTAAAGAGTTTTTAATCTGCAAGTAATCTCTACAACTACATTGGGAAGTATCAAGAACATATTAACTCTTAGCTGATACCCAGTGCACATAAAATCAATTCTATGTAGGTTTTAAAAGACAACTAGTGCTAAAAACTATAACTTTTAAAGATTTTTTGGCAGTCATGAAAAAAAGAAAAGAAAAAAAGAAAAATATACTGCATCTGTAACAATATGAGGCCTAGAAACTAGGGCAGCTAAAGAACAAATATCTCTAAATTGCCTGTAAATTGAGGGGTGGGGAGATGCAAACACATTTTTAATCTCTGGCTCAAGGTTGCTTACACAAGCAATAGTTCAGGTTGGTTTACAACTTACCATGAATCCTGTGAATGGATGTTATGTGTGGCATGTTGCTTTCATAGGCTTCTCGGCTTTCCGGAGAAGATTTGGTTAGGGGAAGGCCAGATCGAGAACCCCACCATGCTTCCCTTCCAGGCTGTGGTGTGCCAAGAAAGTACCGACCAGCCTCACACCTGCCCCCTTCACAGGCTTGAGTATGGAAGTGTCTATCATCCGCTAACCTAGAATGGTCAACTGCAAAACCATAGCAGAGGGCACCACGATCCGAGTATTGTCTATAGGCACAGGAAACATCATGATGCTGAGAGTTTGGTCTTTCAGTGGGATCCATTAATTGTGGAGATGCAGTGTCAGTCAGTGGACTTCCACCCCACTGGCTTTCATGATCAGATTCAGATCGTTCTGTATGAAATCCAGAATACTGCTGGATAAAAGAAAGGGGGGAAGAGAAGAAGAAATTAAGGGTAGATAAGTGCTGATCATTAATTTGATTTTCAAGGTGTTTAAGACCAGGTGCAAATCAGTGTTCCTGAATAAAAAAAAATCTACATGCAGTTATGTGTAATGTCACACAACCGGCTTGTGAATCAGAAGGTTTATTTTATTTTAAATTGTTTGCTCAGTGCATATCCACCTCTATTTCATTCTTCCTGCAAATACCTATTATGGAAATCAAATCGAGCTATGTTCTCTTTTCAGTTGTAACCCCACTGGAAAGCCATCTCCAGCCTCTCTTCTGTATTTTGCAATAGCTTTTCATTACAAAGCTACGATTTATCTTGTGAGGCTGCCATTATACATACCAGCATGTATTCATTTCTGCTGCACCAAGTAGACTAATTTAAGCAGCTTACTGGATCATTAAAGCATTTCATTCTAACTATTCATCAACTGGACGCTCTCAAGATCTTCTAGCCTGCCTTTGCCATCATTCTCATTCATGAGGATTTTAGACCAACACATCTCAGGGCATTGAGCTGATGAAAGCATCGTCTCTGAAATCATATCCACTGAAAAATGTCCTGCTTAGTTTAATCTCCTTTAGTAGGGAAGAACAGATTGGTCTATCCGTTCATCAATCCATTCCATCCATTTTATTTACAGTTGAAAACAACTCTCAAGTATATATGTGCATGTTTCTAGCATAAAGTTTTCCGAAAAGATGCATCCCTTATAATACTTTACCCTAATGTGTGCTGTTCATATTTTATTCATTTACTTTAGAGACTTACATTTCCATCTATTTTATGTGTCATAACTATGAGCAGTTCACTCCAGCAGTGATAAAAACATAAAAGAAACAATATCCACACACCTCAGTCTCCAAAACACAACTCTTGGTGCCCTAAAACAATCCTGCCTAATACATAAACAGTCTTAATCACTGGGATTCAGTTTCATCCTATCCCAACAACTGGGGGAAAGCTGACTTTTTAAGGCCTTCGGAAAGGCTAGTAAATGGATTTTGGTGGACAGGGCAGAGGCCATAGAGATGGACATAATCTGTCTATGGTAAGAAACTAATGTTAACATCCCTTTAACCCAAATCACAATATTACTGCACTAAGACAAAAAAAAAACTTCAGATCTCTATAAGCACGTTTGATGTTTTGAAAGAACTGCATCACAAAATTCAGAACAACGTGAAATCTAAAATATTTCAACCTACATATTAATTTGGGAGGACCAGGTCAAATCTGTTCAAACTGGAATACATGAAAAATGCTGCTCAAGTGAGTTTTACATTTAAACCCCTCATATTAAATATCAACAAACTAAGATGCTATTTCCCATCCCAAATATTAATATGTAAAAAACCAGAAACATATTTTGGGAAACATTCTTGACTTCTCACCTGCGAGTAACCATTTTTAAATTCCTTCTGTTATACTATGCCTCAGCATGCATTATTACTAACAAGATTACTTATCCCAAGTTCTTCAGAACAAATATTTAGAATTACCTATTTTTACAGTATAGCATCATGTATAATTATAAACAGTTTTATATAAGTATCTTCTCTAGTTTTAAGCAATACTTAATTCATGGTGTGAGGCGGGAGGGGGGAACTTGTCAAAAAGTCATAAAAATGATTTCAACTGCTTGATTGACCCATTGGGGTTTGATTGTATGGCTGCATCCCCCATTTTGACTGTTTTCACTCCCCCCATCTCTACTTCTGGATTGGATCCACTGAAAAAGGATCCCTTGGAAATCTGCTCTATGTATCTGGAAGAAACCTTTCTCTTCACCCAGTATTTTTACAGTTTAGATGGATTTTGCTTTCTTCTGTCAATGAAATATTGAGACTTATTCTCAAGCAGCCCTAGAATAAGCATGGGTATAAGGCCACCTCGTTATCAGATATTAACTGATTTTAACTGATTTTCAGTAATTATCCTATCTTCCCCTCACGTGAAGATATCTGAATCAGAAACTATTAACACAGGAACTATTCACTAGGATTTTCATTTCCACAAACCCACTCTAATTAAAATGTTCAAAAAAAACCAAACCCCAAGCTTGTTTTGGTCTAAGTGACATGGTGCTGTTACATTTCATGTCTTGTTTTGACTGGCCTTGTCTAAGATGGAAGGATGAAGGCACAACATTGTGTAGGAAAAAGACTAAACCAAGTGGTATGAAAAAGGGAACAGCACCAGAACCCAACATGCATGAACTTAAATTAGAAAGTTGATCTTTGGTCAAAGGACAAGCACAAAGGGCTTACCACTCAGCTTCATATGATATTTGGCAGAAAATATGCAGGGAGATGGGGAAGCTTTTTCAACCATATTTGGAAGTGATTTCATTTCATTTTTTCCCCACATCATAATTCCTACAAATTTTAATGTAGCTTGTCTACATTAAATTACAAGGCAAGGACTGGGGCAAACGCTAAGAGTTTACTTGGCTAGGAATTATGCCTGAAATCAATTAGTGCCTTCTCAAACTGAAAAGGCCCCTAGCATTGAAAGAGTTCATATAATCTATTTCTGACCATGTTTAGTCACCAAGTGCTTCCCGGAGCAGAGCAATTCAAACAAAGATGGATCACTAGATGCTGACAAAGAAGGGCTGACAATTCCTGAAGGATAGTCCTGACATTCAGTGCCATTGTTAGAATCCTGAAAGTTCTATTAATCCAAGGAAATCTTCAAGAATACTTAATTTTAGGGATCAGCTGAAGAGACATCCTGGAATGTATATTTTTCTCAATGGTCATGCAAACAGAAATTTTTATTAATAGAAATGGTATAGGTTCTAATCAGTAGGTGGCAGTTCATAAGCCCTAAGGGAACTTAGTTATGAATTCAAATAAGTGTTTTTAATCAATCTCCTTCAATTAAAAAAAAAAGCTGCTGCAAAATTCAGGAATTTCTTTGCAAACAACAGATCTCGAGGACAGCAGTGGAAGAGAAGAATTATCAGAACTTGAGAATGATGACGCTTCGTTCAAAACACTTTATTTTTCAGATACATGAACCAAAGTGGGTTCAAATCAGCAAAATGAATCAGGTGGCTTTGTAGCACGGGGTAGATTTTTTAATTTAATAGTTTTCTGCTGATTTTGGTACTGTGTCAGGCAATGTATAAAGTTACACATACTTCATATGAGGAGTGTTGTGAGGGGGTTGCATGGCAGATGCCAACAGGTGTATTACAGTACCCAACATCCTTTGAAGCTCCCTATTTCCTTCAAAGGGAAACCGCTGCACAAGCCTAGTAAGCTTTATTTTCTTTATAAAGTGTACAGTAAATGGGGGACAGGTTAAGTCAAGCATTGGCTCAAAAGTTTATTGTTTTTCCATTAATGTGATAACGCCTATCAATCATACTTGTTCTGTGTCAGCCTCCATGACACTGCATCCAATTATGCCGGTCTGTTTCTGCTGTTTTCCTGCCTCTACTAAGTAATCAACTAAGAGAACATTACTAGCAAGTTCTAATCTGCACACAACTGAATTCTACCCGGGTTGAGGTGATCTGGTCCCAAAGAGGCCAAACTTTATCATGTCCTGCCCATCCTGGTGTCCCATCAAAGGTAATGAGGAAAAGGCTCTTCCAAAGTGAAGCCAGGCTTACAAACATTCTCATCTTTCCGCATCCTGCCCCTCACCCCCAGATCCAAAGTTCAGAAGGAAGACTACCCTATCCCATGGGCAATCTTCAGCATTTGACTGGTTTGAAGAGCAAATGAAAAAGTAAGTGCTTACCAGGTTTTTTTTAACCAGTTTTTAAACATTTCAATTTTAAAATAGGATTAGGGCACTTGCTGCATTAGTTCAATAAACTCAGCATAGGCTCTTTTCTGGATAATCTGGAGACTGCTGTTCTTACTTCATTCCTGCTATCACTGCCTCTAGGGGGATATTTCAAAAATGTACTCTTGAAAATTGACAGTTTTGTCATCCATTTTTTCAGAAGGAGGAGGACACTGTAGGAGGACGAGGAGGATGTAGGAAGGGGAGGAGGAGGACGAGAACGACGAGGAGGAGGAGAAGTAGTAGTAGTTGTTGTTGTTGTTTAGATGTTCCTCTTTGAACATTCCCTAGGAATGTTTTTAAAAAACTAAATCTCAAGATGGATGAAATGGAATGGGTTTCCTCTTGGGGCTTGAATCATAAACTTTAATTAAATCATTCTGTCTTTAAATCTTGAACTAGAATCAAAACAGTCTGCACGAGTCTACTTTATAGCAACCTGGTGGGAATAAATTCAAGGCAAAGAACCCAATTCCAGGCTTTCGAAACAGATTCTAAATTAATTCCTCACAGCAACTTTTTACCTAGCAGGCTCAACACATTATATTGATACTGTATGTCCCTTCCTTCTTCCAACAGTTTAATAATTACACACACAATTCTCCCTCCTCCAATTTTAACGTCATAACAAATGGAGCTATTCTGAAGATTCCTTTTTCCTGTATGCTTGACCTGGAAGTTCTGACTTCACATGCATAATGTTTGATAATTAATTTCTGTGAAACAAAGGCAAAAAAAAATAGTCGATTGGGCCTACTTACAAATACACATTTTGGCTAAATGGACCAGCAGAGTTGTCAGCAGGATTTATAACTGTTCTTATAATTAAGCATTAATTCCTATATTAATTATATTGTAATTTTTTTTTAAAAAATACAGGTTCTTTGTAATAACATTTGGCAAAGTGGTTAGAATAAAACAAATGGTTACAAAAATCTTTAAACAGTTACTTGACTGTTTAAAATGAGTTAAAAGTCTCTCATTAGCTAAGGCATATAAATAAAGTATGGATTACTCTAGTGATGTAATGCAAAATTGTTTACTACCAGTTCTGTGGGTGTGGCAGGCGAAGGATACTGTAAAATCTCCATTTCCTCCCCACTCTGGGGCCAGCCAGAGGTGGCATTTGCCGGTTCTCCAAACTACTCAAAATTTCCACTACCGGTTCTCCAGAACCTGTCAGAACCTGCTGAATTTCACCCCGGATTATTGCAACATGTCTACATGGAGCTACCCTTGAAGGGCACTTGGAAGTTACAAGTTCAGAATACCTTTGGTCCATGGAGAATTGCCACTTTGGTGTTGTTAAACTTCTGTTTGGTGAACTGTACTGGTTGCTAGTTTGTTCCCAGGTCTCCAGGTGCTGGTTCTAACCTTTAAAGCAGTGGTTCCCAACCTTCTTTTGGACATGCCCCACCTAGGCATCTCTAAAATCCTCATTCCCCCCCCCCCATAATTCTTACTTTATTCAAAAAGTGAGCTCTACTTATGCGGAAGAAGCCTAAAAGGCCATTAACTTGGTTTAAACAAGGTTCTAATTGCCTTCCTGTGGGACATAGGCCCCACATTGGGAACCACTGCTTTAAAGCCTTAAATGACATGGAGCAAGGTTATTGGAAGGGCTGTCTCTCCTAATTACATCTACCTGTACTTGTCTCATCAAGGAGGGGTACTTGATGGGTTCTGTGTGCTAAATTAGCCCTGACCCTATTGTTTTAGAAAACTCTTGAAGTATGTTCTTTTTAGCAGGTATGGGGATTTCATAGTAATAGGGCGCCTACTGGATTATATGTGGGTTTTTGGTGCATTCTCCTGCGGTTTTATTTATAGTTTACAGTAATTGCTTTAATGATTATTTAAGGTTTGTTTTAATTGTTTGTTTTGTTTCATACTGCCCAGCATCATATTAGTGAGATGGGTGACTATATAAATTGATAATTAAAGAAATATAATATGTAGGTTAATGAAGAAAGACTTGAAAAAATAGATGGCACGCAGGAGATTTTTCGCTTAGATCGTTAAGTATCAACTACAGTATGTCAGAATTTATTAAGCTACTAAACACCAGCCTATTTTAGATATTGGTGTTCACTGATTGTGAAAATTTTATTATCTATTTCTACTTCTCTAGCTCTTGATAGATAAACAGTTATCAGTCTTTATCACAGCTCCCAAACATGTCTGGTTATGCAAAGAGAATCATTTTATACAAAAATCTCTCCGGCCATCAAAAACGTGTGTTTCATTGGGCATCTGTAACTTCCCTCTTGATTAAACAAGTAGGAGATCACAGATGCAATCTACTTTACACACAGAACATGTGTGTGCTTTTAAATCACTTTTATCTTGCCTTTTTAACTAATGTAACCCTGAAATATAAAGTATGGTCTTCTATTATAGGCAGAACAGATGGTGGAAGGCTTCGATTAAAGTAATGCAGCCTAACCATTAAAATAACCTCTACTAATGGTGATTCTGTACCAGTTTTGAATCTACTTTAGAACTTTTTAAAGTTTCCTTTCACTTTCAAATTTGCAAAGTTTGATGTATAATATTCTAATTAATATATTAAATATTTTATTCAATCTATTTAATTAATAGATTGAATAAAATAGACAATGTATCATTAAGGAAACATATCTTGCTATGATTTGCTTTTATCTGGAATATTTCTGTTCTCTTTGCTACTAACAAAAATAACCAAAATAAAAACAAACTTTCAGTATTACCTGTAATTAAATATCAATAGATCCTAAAACGCAAACACATTATTTTAGTGATAGTCATAAGCAGTGCAGTAATTGTCCCTGATAAACTTTTATTCATGCAAACAATATTCAAAACTGTGACTAAACCAAATTTAATAAAAGTGATAAAATTGAATTAGGGATGTTGCTCAACAGGTTGAATCTAATGCAAACCAAATGTTTTACTATAGAAATCATACTTTTCATGATGTGATCATTGCAATAAAAAATAAAACTCAGGAGCTCATGGTAAACAAAGTTTCTTATTAATATTATTGCTCTATTAATCAGTGTAGAATAAATAAGGTTTCAGGTATTTAGAATAAATGGGTTTAAAATTTATTTGACCTCTTTGTAAGGTTAGGACAATGATACATAGCCCAGTAAAAAACATTTTAGTTACATCTTATTAAACAGAAAGAAACCAAGTTCTATAAAATGAATTAAATAATATTTAGGTTCTGCTTGAAACTTTTATTTATGGATAGAGTTGATTTTGTTGGGGATGGGATGTCAATGTTTTTTTTTAAATGTTAGGAGAACACTTTCTCATGTTTGGTATCTTTTCACTTCATAATAATAAAAAGAAAAACTTGTGCTACTTTCCAAATCTTTTCAAAGGAGGAAAATATATTCCATACTGTAAGCCAGAGGTGGGGGACAAGGGCCCCTTTATGACATGTGGGCTTCAACTCCTAGAATTCCTGAGCCAGCATGGTTGGTTCAGGAATTCATGGAGTTGAAGCCCACAAGTCATAAAAGAGCCATAGTCCACCACCACCACCCTCTGTAAGGAAATGTACTATATAAGTGTTTGAGAATATGGATCAACTCCCCTTGGCTTACGTCAGAGTTTATTCATTAATGTATGTATTTGGGATGTTTTTAAGGGCCCTTACAAAGAATGACAATCTATGTAAACAATGATAGATTTACAGTAGATTAGGTTTGTTGCACTGCATTCTTTTACCATGATTATCTTTAGAAAAGAAGAACTTTGATTTGATGAAAGTGATGGTAATATTTAGTACATGGCTCTAGAAAAATGCTATAAGGTAGTTTTGAGCGGAGTGCCTTGTGTGCCTTCAAGTTAAAAAGAAACATTATCACTATCAATGGTAACACAATGCTGCAATGAATATTAATAATTATGTTTTCTAGCTTACAGGCTAGAAAAAGATTGATTAGATCATCCAACACTCTTCATGGGAAGGGGATGCCAGATGTTCAAGATGGCTTTAGAAAAAGCTGAGGAACAAGAAATATTATTGCAGATGTATATTGGGTATTTGAGAAAGCCAAATCATATAAAAATGAAGTCAGTATGTACTTCATTGATTATTGAAAATTATTTCATTACGCCAACTACAGCAAAGTAGAGAATGCTCTGAGAAAAATAGGAATTCAGAACAATTCTTGTGTGCTTACAAAATCTATCACAGGACAGGAAGCCACAATCCAATTTAAACCTGGTGAAACAGACTGGCTCCCCTCTGACAATATTGAGAGAGGCTGCTTTAGAAGAAAAATGCACTTTTAAAATTTAAGGAAGGAATACCAATAACAGGCACCATACTTATGACATATTGATAGATGAAAATGTAAATAAACTGCAAGCTCCAGTGAGGAAAAATCAGTGAGCAAAAAAAATGGGGAAAATGAGATTAAGATTATACATAAAGAAGATAAAAAAATGCAGAGATATAGAACTGACAACGAAGTAGTGGATAGTTCCTGCCTTTTAGAATCAGTGAATAGTAAAAGAACTAGCAGTCAAGAAATATCACACAAATTAGCACTTGGCCGAATACCCGTAATAGTTAAGAACATGGATAAGATTCCATGGCATCTCCATACCTGCAATGTTTTTCTCTGTGACATCCTAAAGAAGTGAACGTTGGACTTTGAAGAAGCAGTTTAGAAAGAATATCAGCACTTTTAAACTTAGCTTTGAAGAAGACTCTTAATGCACTGGATAACCATGAAACAAAAAATTGGATCATAGAAAAAAAAACAATCCAGGGAACTCATTCAACATAGATAATCAAAATTATGTAGACATATGATGTTATGAAAATAAGTATAGCCTGGTATGAACAGAGTTACCTCTAGTGTCAAAGTTATGTAATTCTATAATATCAAAATTAAGACTTCATCAAAACTTGAAAAGCAAACACATGAATTACTGAATTTTTGTATGTATTTTAGTTGACTTCTTTCCCTTTAACTTAGAGTTTGCATTTTTATCCCAGGTATCCCCCACCTTTTACTAAACTTGTATTTCTCCATATAAGTCATATAAGCAGCAGAGTTACAGTTTATAGTGTAACAGTATAAATAGTGAGAATAGTGAGAATTGAGCAATATATCTAGAGACATTAAATTGGGGAAGACCAACCTAATCATTCAGGATTGACAACAATATGATCGAAGCCATAGAATGCTAATTTAGATTGAATGGAATCTTGTGAGTTACATAGGTGAATGGACAAAAGCACAGAATTTTCTACAGAGATCAAATTTAACTTTGTATTTTTCCCTTAACTACATTCTCTATATGTGTTGTTGATCAACATTTGCAATTTTGTATGTTATAAGATTTGTGGTATATCTTCAAAATAATAGGAAATGGCTTCCAGCATTAAATCTGTAGTAATTAAAATCCTAATGCTGTTTACATTTCCTTGGACATTCCCTCAGTGCAAATATGTTGTCCAGTGATAACATAGACCCATGATGGCAAACCTATGGCACGCGTACCAGAGGTGGCACACAGAGCCGTCTCTGTGGGCCCGTGCGCTGTTGCCAGCTGGTCTTCGTGGGCACTGGATGCAAGAAAACGGCCTGAAAATGCCCCACAAATGCCCCACAAACCAGAACATTTTCTGGGCCATTTTCCAGGACATTTTCAGATCATTTTGGGGCCATTTTTCCAAAAACAGGCATGTGCATGCCGGTCAGCTGGTCTTCGGGCGCATGCACATGCACGTGCATGCACGCGCATTCCTGTTTAGACACTTGGTGCCGAAAAGGTTCACCATCACTGACATAGACTGAACCTCTTCCAGCAATTATACAGTTATGCTTCATTGTAAAACAATTCAAAAGGAAACTCAAGAATCTTTTCTAAGCATGTGAAATCAAGTTGCTCTTACCTGTGGATAAGGTGATGTCCTAGATTTGGACTTTGTGCCAGAGAGACGTGATTTGCTTCCTTTTCTATTGTCAGTTATAGTTGGAATTGAATTTGCATATGGGAAGGCCGGTTTTGTAGCCGAAACCTGATCAAGGGAGAGTTGAAGTCCTTTGTATTCTGTGTCCCTAAATAAAAAGTATAAAATATATTTAATACAATCCCATAAATACTTATGATTAATTATTTAGCTTTCATTTTTTTTCATTATTTAAAATGTGTACAAATACGTGTTTTCCAGATTTAAAAAAAACTTAAAAGGTGGAACCAGTACATGAATAGTAAGTAAACAAACTCTCAACAATTTCATTTGAAATGGATTATTAAGAATTAGTGAATGTTTATCTTTGAAAAGTTATTGGGGTGGGGGAATCTCCATTCAACATATTGTTTTATCCTGAAAACTTTCTCTTACCATTCTGTTTCCAAAACTGCAGCCAGGTGTAATTTATTATATAAATAGACGAGATTCCCAAAGCTGAACAAGTGTGCATTATATATATTACAGTCTTTGTAGAGTCTGAACGATACATCCAGATTTGTTAATACTTAATAGTGCTAAACTTAGGAAACATGATAAGATGGCATACAGATTTTTTCAGAAAGATTCTCTTGTGACGCTTTTCTGATTTTGCATTGATAGTTTAAAATGATAAATTATTACTTTCTAAATACACATCTGCTTCCAGTTTATACAGAAGTAATCTAATTCACAAAACTGCCCTATCAGAAATTGAGCATTTGAACTTCAAACAGCTCTTGTAATAGTCAAACGAAATAGAACTGGAAAAGGTTCAGAGGATGTCAATAAGATGGTCAAAGGGCTAGAACAACTTCACTATGAAGAAAGGTTGTGACACTTGGGACTTTTTAATCTAGAAGGGAGGCAGATAAGAAGGAACATGATTGAGGTGTACAAAATTGTGCATATTGTGCATAAACTGGACAAGAATTTATTTTCCCCTTGCCCAAATACTACAGTATTACCAGAGGTCATCCAATGAAATTGAATCTTGGGAGGATCAGGACAGAGAAAAGGACTATTTAAAATGTTGGACACTGATTACATGGGATTAGTTTAGCAGCTTTCTTAAATGGTGGAATGATTACTTGTTTCCATCAAATATATCCAGCCAGTTAGTACCACCATCCATTAATTAGATAAGGGAAAATAGTCTTTACTCCTGCTGTTGTGACCTACATGTAAAGAAGAGATCTCTTTCAAAACAATAGGTATATTCAGACTAGGAGTGGGTTCCGGCAAGCACTACTGCCAATTCGCTTGTGTGCACGCTGCGCACGTGCATGCGTACGTCGTGCATGTGCACTCCAATTAAAATTGTTCTGCGCATGTGCAGAACTGAAAAACAAGATGGTGCCGCCAATGGTGCCACCCGGGAACCGGTTCAGGGGTTTCACAGGCCTGGGTCACTGCTGGTTCCAGCGACCCAGGCTGCCAAACCGCTACCAGTTCAACTGAACGGGTCCAAACCGGTAGGTACCCATCACTGATTCAGACTTTTCACATGACTGTGAATATACTGTGAGTATATTGGGAACTTATTTAAGGCCTTCTCTGTGGCTGCTCCGGCCCTCTGGAACAATCTCCCCGTGGAGATTCAGACCCTTGCCACCCTTCAGGCTTTCCGCAAAGTCGTTAAAACCTGGCTGTTCCAGCAGACCTGGGGCTGATGAGTTCCCAGCCCCACTCGAACTGTTGCGGCTGTTGATGAGTTCTTAATATACTCACAGTATATTCACAGTCATGTGAAAAGTCTGAATCAGTGATGGGTACCTACCGGTTTGGACCCGTTCAGTTGAACTGG